GGGGGCAGGGCAGCGAGCCCCGCCTGGGGCTCGGCTCTCCCCCCCCCCAGCGGCCGGAGCGCCGGGGGCAGGACGCCGGGGGGGAGGGCGGCCGGAGCCCTGGGGGGAGAGCGCCGCGCCTCCGCCCCCCTCCAGGTGCCGCCCCAAGCACCAGCTTGGGTGCCTGGTGCCTGGAGCCGACCCTGAACCCCAGCAAGGACGGGAAAGTCACCAAACTCTGACTTCCTCTGCACACGTGAACGCAATCAGCGACCTCACCCCACCTGCCAAGCGGCGACTCCCAGGGAGAGTGATTGCCATGCGGCATGCTGGCTGTAATAATCGCCTCTAACCATCAATTATTATCTAATCTGCCGTGCGGTTTCATTACCGGCGTCATTTGTGCTGCTCTCATGGGTTCCGTGCGGGGCGAAAGTCCTTCAAATTAAACGGGGAATGTAACAGCTTCAAAAGCAATAACTCTGGCGCACAAGCAGATTAGACGGGCGGGGGAGGTGTTAACGTGTTTGGGACAAAGGCAGCATTAGCGTTTTACAGCGTGGCCAGGAGCTGGGAACGGAGATTGGAAACACCACCGCCCTCAGCACGAACGCTCCAGGGGGTCCCTAACACTTGCTTTCTGGAGGGCGGGAGCAAGAGGGGGTGAGGGATGTTAATTCACCTTGCAGAGCATGGCCTCCTTGGCCTGACATTTGAGACCTGGGTTCTCTTCCCATGTCTGCCACTAGCCCCGGGGGTGACGTTGGCCAAGTCCCTCCCCTGCCCCTTTGCCTGCTGAGGCTGTAAGGTCTTTGGGGCAGGCACTGCCTCACAGGCTCTCTCGTCCCTGAAGAGAAGGCGAGCTTGGATGACAGCATCACACCATGAAATAGAACCGGAGCTGCACAGCGGGGGCATGTACGCAGCTGACGCGCCGTAGCCTACAGCCCCCGAGGGGCCAGCCAGCCGACTGGCAGTAAAAGCACCACCGCACTCGAGCCCAGGGTGTTTGTGTGTGGACAGGACCAACGCTCACATTAACTCTGCATGAACCTGAGCCCTTGGCCTGTTTCCATGCAGTGCCCAGGCATTGGGGCTTCCATATTGGACCTCCAGGCACCACCATAATAACAATTTTGCACATCTCTCAGGACTGGGCATTAACCTGCGGCATGTCAGGCAGGGGGTCCCCAGATGGCGTCTCTGGCAGGGGGTCCCCGGATGGCGTCTCTGGCAGGGGGTCCCGGGAAGGCGTCTCTGGCAGGGGGCCCCCGGATGGCGTCTCTGGCAGGGGGCCCCCG